CTTTGGTCCTCTTGATGGGGGATCGGGTGCCATCATCAGGGTTGAGATATTTCTCCTTCTGGCGGAGAACTTTCGATACAGTACTTTAACCAACCGTGTTAGAGAAAGCTTGACCGCCTCGAGCATTGCGGAAGTAACAGAAGACTTTACCTTCTTTCGACACCAAAGAGTGCTGCAGCAGGATTGATTAGACGGGGAGTTCGTATCAAGAGAAGGCGTGAAGACTTTACCTCCAATGTCAGTCTGCTTGGCGGTCTTGTTCTCCTCGTGATAGAGACACATTCGTCGACGGTCCTCATCGGTGAGGGTCCGCCGTGGGGTGGAGCCGCTGGTTGAGGACTTGCGCGGTGGCGGGACAGGTGTAACAGAGGTGATGGCGGGCGTTTGCTGAGGTTGCTGCAATGGTGGTGGTGGAGGCGGCGGCGGTAGAGGCATTGCAGGCATTGCAGCATCCGGGAAAGGCCCTTGGGTGGTGAGCATGCTGGGCCATGTGTTGGAAGTCATGGTCAATGGCATTGATGCATAAGGTGGTGGAATTGAGACTCCATAGGAAGAATCAAGAGGTAAGACACCGTATCCGAATCCCTGATAGTCCAGGGTGGGCGATTGCTCGGATGGACTGAAACCGCCCATATCCACCCAGGGTGATTGCGCAAACTCATTGTCCTGCGGATGTGTGCTTTCCGTATCCATACTGAAGGCAAGGTAGAACAAGGACAGATTTGAAAGGGTAGAGGCAGAGAGACAAAGAGAGACAGAGTGAGAAGTATATCAGGGGAGGGGGGAGGGAGAGAAGGTGGAGTGGAAGAAGTGGTGGAGGTGGCACTGAGACAAGTGCTTAACAAAGATATTTGTCTATCAGACAACCCGAAAGGGATTTTAAGAATCCAAAAAAACCGGGGAATGAGATCTGATCAATACCTCTTAGAGAAAAAGCAATGATGGGTGGGAAGCCAGTCAAAGAGACGGTCTAGGGCCGAGACAAGGGGAGAAAGTGATGCATATTCAGACTCGAACTGGAGGAACGAGTGAGCTGCGCTTACGGAAGCTGAAGAGCGGGCATGTATCAACTTTCTAGAGCCACCAGATCTGCGCTCCCTAGGCAATTGGCGTCTGATAGGATAGACTACCCCGAGAAGATGACCAAGAGTTAGCTGACCCGGGAAGGGGGGAGGGGCGAGAAAAGAGGACGCCTGCACCATAAAACTTCATATGGATTGGATAGACCAGGACGGAAGGAAATTGATTCTAGTAGTAGAGGAGTCAGTCGCCTTCAAGCGAGAAAGCGGGTCAAGCGTGCGCAGCGGGTGGGTAAAGAAAGCATGGAGGTTTTTAAATGTGAGAGACAAGAAATAAAAAGGGTCGGGCCAGGGCACAGGCACCGCAGGGACGATCAGGGAAACGACCGGAGAAGCTCACAGTCTTAGCTTGTTGTACATCCCAATTAATTGGCGGAGAGGAGGAGGAGAAGAAGAAGAAGAGGAGGAGGAGGAAGAAACAGAAGGAAAATGAGGAGGAGTGAGTAAGTCAGTCAGTGAGTAAGTAGATACGGCAGGTAGAATGGAAGTGAGTGAGTGATTGCAGTAAGTAAGTTACAGTCTGTAAGTAAGTTGGTTGGTTCAGTAGAAGACCAAGAAGGAAAAGGCAAATGGAAAGAGGCGTCGTCAATGGGCAAGTCGTAAATCCATCAACGGTCCAGTCTCCGTTCGGGAGTACTTTTAGGTTTTCTTTTTCTTTTTCTATTCCTTTTTTTTTCCCTAATTATTACTCTCTTTTTATTTACTCCGTTTATTTTATTTCTATTTATTGGGTTGATTATTATTATAAGTGAGCAGTCGTATTATTGATCTAATTTGTTCCTCTTCTCTTCTGCACTTTATTTATTCCAGACCAGAAGACCAGACCTGCATAGTTCCATCCGTCCATCCATCCATCTAACTACCAGTATCATCCATCTATCCATCTAATTCCTCATCGACGCTGCCATTTCCATCCATGTCTGTTTGCGGTCTATAGCGGTGGTCTGTATAGAACTAAGTACGGCAGATTTTGATTGACAGATAGTCAGGCAGCTTGAGCAACAACACGCGAGTCTGGAACCTCGGAGGAAAGCTCGCTTTGGAGCCATGGCCGATTCATATCTGGCCTGCCCAGACCAGTCAGGCAGTTCTTTTTCCCCTTCTATTACCACCCATATGGTGCCCTTCTTCGCCTTCTTCTTTTGCTTCCACGGGTTGCAGCCAGCCAGACACGAGGACGCATGAAACCTAAGATACCTTATGTACTCCGTATACCCCGATCCGATTGATAGTTCCAGCAGGCCCGGGAAGCGACAAGAAGGAAAAAAAAAAAGAAGACATGCTGCATTGCTTTTCTCAATTGGCTGGTCAGCTCGACGCCAGTACTGAAAATGAATCCAATGCGAAAGAGAAGTAGTGGGGAGTCCGTGCTCTGATTGGAGGAGATCTAGATTGGAGGGACAGGGATCGACTCTCGGGTCCAAATACCGCTAGAGGTATCGCTTCCGTACCACCTCGTGTCAGGTAATCTCCGTAATCTTCAGTTCTCAAAGACAGTTGCTTATGCTCACTTACCGTAAGTACAGTACAGAGTAAATCCCAGCTTCTCTCCTCTCGACCGATTCCAGCCATTCCTGGTCTTTTCAGGTTGCTTTTGCACCCACAAGCCCTCCAACCCTCCCCCCCCCCCTCCCATCCTTCCCCTCCCCGTCCCTGAATTTCCCTTCCCATTGCCTTTGATGTCTGGCTGAGAAGAGGTTGCATTCAGGCCTCGCTTGAGCTTGATCTAGTATGCTTCTCCGGCTGGATGTCCTTCTCCATCGTGGAGTAACTTACGCAGCATGACATGTTACACTAAAGGAAGGATCCAGGTATCCGAACCACCGTTTGTCGGTCTGCCGTCATACTATTTTAGGTAGGGATAATACTCACCCCCCCCCTCTCCCACTTCCAGTCCGGTCCAGGCGGAGCCTGCACTAAGTAGAAGGCATGACACCCCCTCCTCCGATTCCAGGTGGAGCCAGACTCCCAGACCAAATGGATCCCTAATCGGGTGTCTTTGGATCCAGTTACAACTCGATGAAGGATAAAGGTCGATCAATTCGTCCATGAACAATCCTCCTTCCCGCTTCCATCCCTACTCTGGTCGCACTTATTCTCTGCCCGCACTACTATAAGATTCTGCGTTGAGCCTTGCTTTTGTACAAAGCCTCCCGTTGGCCGGAGGGTATTGCTTGTCCATTCAGTCCCTCAGCCGAGGATACCAAAGATGGAAGATATGATCTCCCGCACACCGCGCCATAAGATAAGTTACGGTGGGTTCAAGTGGCTCCAGTGGATGAACAGTGTGTTGTATGATAATCCGTCAATGGCACAAAGGGGATCTGCCTCGGGACGCAAATCATGGTAGATGCCCCCCTCTCGTAAAGAGTTCTCGATCAACCATGGTTCCCATCGACGGACGGGGAGCGGATCGAGAACCGCTGAACCTAATTGCCCGCATGACATACAGGAAGAAGTCTTTGCGGGCCTGGGAGACGGCGCGGAACCATACTCGATGGTCTCTCACTATCGTCAATCATTAAGCGACGGCCTCTCAACGGCATTTTCCTCCCCTCCCCGCCTGGCCGTCTACGTGGGTATCTCATCCCTCCCCCCCGCCAGAATAGTGGTGGACTTTTCCCGCAGTGGCTATGTTGCTGCTCAATGCTGACCAAAAGCTAAGGTAAGATTCAGAGTGAAGAAGTGGGCCAGGGGTAAGTAGATGAGGAGGAGGGGGCCGAGAAGCAAGTCCCCTAGTCAGTGAGCACGGATCCTCGGGAGAAGGGCATTGCTTGCCCTGAGAAAAAGCCCGGGGAGAACGAGACCAATGGACGGGGGAAGCGGTAGGGAGAGCATCGTTAGTTCGCCTTCGGTTCCGAGCTTCTTAGAGGAGGAGGCCCCTCTACGGAGGAGGCAGGTAGGATTACCTGGGACGTGCCGGTATTGAGTGTGGGCTCTCCGGTACTAGCTCGTGTACAGTACTCCGTACAGACGAGCTCGTTATTGAGACGATGACTGAGCCGACGACCCATCTCATCCTTCAACCATGGAATCTGTACGGCAGCTCGGAAAGGTCCAACCTGAATCAGGACTCCAGTCAGAGCAGCAGAAAGGGCGATCTGCACCGTACTTTGTCACGCGAAAACCGTCAGGAGATACGGCGGACGAATGATACGTCGTAGGTCGATTTCATTTCATCTACGGGATGCGTAGACTAGACAAGGGTCGTCATCCTATCACGATGAGCACAGACGGCATGGTTCGGCCACCCAGGCTTTGAAGCAGGCTTGAATCGGTTCCTTCCCTTGACTGGGTAAAGTTCCGTCAGCACATGAGGTCGACAAGGAAAGAGAAGAGAGGGAGAAGAGACAGGAAAGTTAGAAAGAGGAAAAGAAGGGAGCTCTGACCTCCCCCCTCCCCCCACGGTCCACTCCTGGTACCCGCAGTGGTCCACCCCGGCCCGGCAACCTAAGCAATATCCATAAGTAAGGTATCCATGTTCATCGTTCAATACAAAACGAGGGATTAATCCAATCCCGATCCATTAATTGATTGGCTGGATGACTGATTTGATTTAATCACGGCGAGGTTGAGAAGAATTCAGGAGGAGAACAAACTAGCCAGCCGAGGTCATCGCGATGATGAAGAATCACAAGTTGCTAAGTTACTACTGAGTAATATTGTATTAGTCATGAACAACTGGAGCTGTCATTTTGGCACCACTGACAAGGTTCTTCTTTCCTTTGGGAGGGTGGGTGGTTGAACGTGAAGATAGCGATCGGGTATGAATGATTCGAGGGTATCCCGATGGATAGTAATTCCTCCTAGTTCCGGTTTAGTGTTCTGGCCACTGCAAATCATGGCGAGCATGAGAACCTCTAGGCTCTGGGTTCATTTAGTACCTATCATCAACCCGCCACTACTGGAGGCAGGAGATCACTCAAGCCTACCCACCACTCGAGATTTTCTCGAGTTCTTCGAGATAATACACATGTAATAGTAACAATCCCCCAATTGCCCCGAATCTATCGAGTCCATTCCCATCGAATTGGCAGGTCTCCTCTGCAGCGTACACATGAGAAAAAAATTCTACCTAGCCGTACAACCCTCCCTCACTCCCTCTGTATACCCTAGATGGTCTCCACGGCATCCGACATGTCTTTCATGCAAGAGCAGCCTTACCGGGGCTTGCAATAGGACCGAATCGGTACCAGTGGGGAGGCGCAGAGTCCTCCGTGCTGCATCCTTGGTACCTAATCTCTCCAGCCTCTCTGGCCTCTCTAGCCTCTCTAGGCAGTTGGAGAAAGACAGGGGACGGAGGAGGAGAAAAGGCGGGAAAACGTGACTCTGAGCTGCTCGCTGGGTGAGTCCGCCCCGCTTGTTCCGATGAGACCACGAGGGCTGCTGTCAACTGAGGGATCATTACGATGAACTACCAAGCGATTGTATGTAATACATATTTCTGTATGACTGATCTCAAATGAAACAAATCCCGTATAAGCTCGTACGTACCTTGTCAATTGACTCAGTTCCCATTCTTCCCCACATACATAGTACCTAGGAAAAGGAATCGATCCGATCTTATTGTTCAGTTGATGGTACCCGATGTTGGTCACCTGATTGGCTTCCAGGTTACTGAGTGCTCGAGTGCTTACTCCCCTAACTCCGTCCCATCGGCAAGAAATTACCGTGGTAATTCTGGTCCATTGGCGGGAGGTAATAATTAATTAATTGAGGCAGAAAAAGAAAAGGCACCACTCTAGACTGCGCACGCGCGTATCAAGCAAGCAATGCGACCATACGTCATTCCATCTCACAGTCCATTCGGCTTATGATAGACCATTCCCGAGTGGCTAAAGTTCGGCGCAACCGGGGAAGGAGAGTCAAGAAAAGGGGCCTGGATAGGCAGGACAGCCAGAGAGCTCGGAGAAAGATAGAAGTAGGCAAAGGGAGGCGAAAAAAGGCAGAAAAGGGAAAAGAAGGGCGCTAATTGATATCCCAGGCCGACCTTTGATTGGCTCGATGGGATCTGCTGAGACTCAGGTCTCTGCATGGACAAGGTTGGGAAAAGTGGTGCGACGTCAGGCACCAAATGAGATCGTTGGAGGGCGCCATGATAGCCTTACCGTTCTACAAGGCCAGAGCAGTCGACATCTGTCAGGTACGGAAAGCCATTGCAGATGCCGGGAGGCTTCTGCCGTGTTCTTAATCGCATATGTAACGTGTGCCAGGTACTTTGCAGAAGCGAAGTCTCACTGCGACGGCTTGCATTGTTCTTTGCTCGTCTGGCCAGGTTGGGAGGTAGATAGAATCAAGTATCCGTACTGTTGTATGAGTATTTTTTTCCGCTTCCATTGCCCGAACCTGTCCGCCCAACCTCCCCGGCGTTATAAGCAGCCACCCACGTCCCAACTGAAGATGCGCGCGATGGGTTCGTTCAAGGGAGGCGATTCAAGCCCGTTGGAACTTGAAACGGAAGTAATCCGAAGTCGCGGGAAAAAAAGATGATGACATCAGACAGTCAACTCCGCCGCCGCCGTCGCCGCCGCCGCAGCGGTGAGTTGAGGGAGGAGGAGATCTGAGGGCCAAGGGTGGAGATTTGCGAGATTCCGAGGAAGGGTGCATTGAACTAGTTCCAGTCCAACAAGACTACTGCAGCCGATGTTGCCCAGATTTGACTCAGTAAGAAAACCACCCCTCCTCTCTTCCCAAACTGGCAAGGGCAATGCAAGAGCTAAAATCTCGAGCCCGTATTCGCGCATCGTGGGGTCGTCATCACCCTCCAGGCTCTTTCTTTTTGTGTCGGATTCAAGCAATCCGAGCATTTCTCAACTTGTCGGTTTGTAAATTCGACCGCAGAGCAGTTTCTTTGTTTCGCCCTTGCAGGGAAAGGGTGAGAGGTCGGCCAGCCCCAAGCCATGGCGGTTTGTGTGGCGGTATTCGGTCTGGACGACATCGGCGACATCCGCGGTACCCAGGATAAAAATGAAAGGGAAGAGATTGAAACGAATCGACGATGGGGAAGTCAGCAAGAAGCTGTTTGTTGCAAGACTTGGAAAGTATGTACTGTTTGTACAGTACTCTGTAAGCTTGACCAACTGCAGAGGAGGCTATCGGTGACAAATCGGATGAGAGGTAGAGGAGGAGGGGAAACAGATAAAAGGATATGCACTCCAATGCAGCCTCCACCAGCCCGGGGGATGGGAAGTCAACGTTTGTCGGTGCTTGATCGGTCAGCTGACCAGCGAAATCTCACCTCAGTTGCAGGCCACATGAGACCATTTGGGTGCAGAACGTGTCTGAAGAAGAGGGGAGGGGAAGAGAAAGAGAGAGAGAGAGAGAGAGCATGGGTTCTCCACCATGCTTTGCCATGCTTTGCCATGCTTTGCTCTCCCTAGTAATTAATTGGATAAATACAGCTTACCTACGGCGGAGCACTAAGTTATTTACTACTCTTCATAGCGAAGGGCAAGCGATCTCGCCACAACAGCCACCCCACTTCCCAAGAGCTCGCATGGAGCACATGGAGGATGACTGCGAAGTACCACAGAGAGAAGAAACACCAACCAAGCTATCCGATGGCGACATGTACTCCGGACTTGGAATTCCCGGGAACTAATAATATCGAGGACAGCGTCTTTTCCTGGCGCACTCCCGCAGACCGCTTCTTTCTCGATAGTATATCCTGGTTCCCCAGGATTGTAAACCCTTCCCTGTCCTTCGGGTTCCCACCATCGTGCATAGCACCCTTTATTTCCAAAGGTACGGAGTACTCTTGTGATCTGTCCAAATGCACTTGAGTAGATCGAAGACAGGACACATGGAGGGGGCAAAAGCGCGCGCAGCCACATTTCCAGAACTCGATCTATATCTTGCATCATTGCTTTGGCTGCGCCCAGCAGAGAGGGAGACACAGAGAACCGCACAAGTGGTACTGTGAGGGTAGTATAACCAGTGGTAGCAGTAGTAGGTAGGTGGGTAGCATATGGTATCAAGGGAGGTTGAAGCTCATCTCACCTACAACTTCACCCAAAAGAATCAAACAGAGATCAACCATAAAGTAACCACACCACAACCAACACCGCAGATACAACTACCACTACAACATAAAATCCAAGCCCAAGTCCCAGAGCGTTTGTACTACAATGCCCATCCACCATCGCATTTACCCGAAAGCAACCTCTAATCTACTAGCATAATCTCATGACAGTTATACATCGACGGGTCCAATGGCACCGACCTTACAAGGCCAACCCATGATTCTCCCTCACCATCATCCCAAAGCCCGAAACCAGATTCAAATGTTGTCACGAGCTTTACAGAACAGTACTAGACTCCGGTAAATACCTTACCAACTTGATTTTCTTTACCATATCAGATCCCAGTCCAGCATCTAACCTAACCTACCCTATCCACCAACTGACTAGCCCCCCCCCCCCCATCTTCCTAGACCACCTGGTAGTTACTCTTAACGCAGTCTCAAGCCCATTGATTGATCAGTTCAGATGATTGTCTATTATTCACTGTGGGTTTTTTTCGGGCCCGGCCGCAAGACGCGAAAGAAAAACCAAAATTGACAATCGAATTGCAACACAAATCAAGGAGGAAAGAGAAACAAACCCACCTACTCTACTCCCTGACTACAGTACTACCTTACTGTACCTCTCCGGCTTGAAAAATGGTATACAAACTCGACCACCAAGTGATCGTTGGGGTCGAACGTAGCGATCCCTTTACATGTATAAACTTTTGAATTGGATTCTGGGGCTTATCATCCTAGATGAGGAGGGAGGGATGCACGGAGCATGAGCAGCGGAATAGACCCCCCCCCCCCCTTCAACCTCCACGTCCACCTCCAATCCAAAGCATAAGAGCAGACAGAATGCTTAACTTTCTTCCCCCTCCCTACAATACAGTACATAGAAGATAGTACATCGTAGAAATCTGCAAGATAAACACACTTTTCCGACCCCCAACCCCTCCAATGCCTTCCTTATCTGCCAGGCACAAGATGTATAAGACGCGAAAGTATGCATCCGAAGATACTAGATACCACCCCCAGGCACCCTACCTCCCCTTCCCCTGATTCACGACTATATAGACAAGTTCCGATCCCCACTTGGACATATTTAGACATATTGAATGATACATAGCCTCCTTAGCTATAGGATCCGTGCTTTTATTTGGGGGGGGGGGGGGAACGGAATTCGATCACCATATTTACGCATTACGTCGACGTTCCGATCCTCAGCTCCAAGCTCCTCCTCGGTCCTCACGTCCTGGCCTCGTTCAGTCTCGAAAAATGGAGTCTCAGATCCAATCAACGCCCAAAGAAAGAAAAGGGAAATCAAAAGCGTAAACACTTGCCCTCACGCCTCAGAAGGTAAAAGATCAAAGCAATCCACCTAGTCATTCCCACAACGGAGAAGTACCAAATTAAAACAATCAAACACCATTGGCGAAAAGAGGGAGAGTAGGTACGATCTAAGGTATAGTAGGCGGACGGACGTGCGTCATATTCACTAGCCGAGCTAGTTGTAGCTAGTGTAGCTAGTAGCTACCTAGTTAATAGGTAGTTGATAGAACTAATACCTCCTTTTTTTGGGGCTTTGCTTTTTTTGATTATATCATTATTAGTAGTATGAATATCCTCATTTCCGAATACAGACTAAAGAGAAAAAAAACAAAACTTGGCCTCGAGGTTTTAATTTTAGGAACGTCATTCCTCCTCGCTCACCACTGTCAAAGCGGTCCATCCGGGCCGAAATACTGGATGTAACTACACTACAGGACTAAGTAGTTGGTATCTACAGACTGGGAATAGTCCTCAGGATCGGGGGTCTAGAATCAATGCCCGCCACCATCAAAACAGGATCACCAGAATCCTCACGAAAAGCACAAGAGGAAAAATGTGAAGTCTAATCAATCAGAGTCTCGTACTAAGCTCCCGAGTGCACGTTTTGGATAGGAAGAACGAAGAGAGTAAAAGAAAATAGTAGATATATATCGACAGGTCCTAAAGTATTTGCTAATCCCCAAGAAATAAGTAAAATCCTAAAAGAAATTCCAGCTTATGTCCAGTCTTAGATTTTCATCTCTGTCCATTCCGTCCTTTGACCAAGCGATCAAATCACTCAGACATTCGTCTTCCTAAACCGGGATTGCGCATCAAAAACACTCTATCATCAGGGGCGGCGAAGGGGAAAGAAAAAAAAACTTCATCCTGACTCATGGTCCGGGGGAAGGTCCCTGACGAGTAGAGAGTTGATTTTCCCCAGGGCGGCGTTTGGCAGACTTCTCCAATGCTGCCCGTGCGCAAATCCGTCTCCTTCCTCCTCCCCCAATCACAATTCCTATGGTCCATCTCACGGAAATCATCTGTCACAAGGGCCGGGCTCTTTCTTGAGGGCGCTTTATACTTAGCGGAGAAACACAAAGCTCTCCCCCTTTCCCCCCTCTCCCCCTTAATCCACAGTCGATTTGTGTTGATCATGCTCGAGTGCACGATTCGCCACTGCGCTGCTCCGCTTAAGGGGCGGATCCTCTTCCAGGAGGGTTGACATGGCGTTCGGACTCGATTAGCGCTTGACGATGGACACTGTATTAGAACCACTAAAGTTAGCTTTGGAGATCCCAATATGACGGGTAAAAAGGAGAAGCACGGACCGATATCTTCATCTCCCAACTCGTGTGACAGACCGACACGCTGCGGTTGGTGCTTGACGGAGCGGCCATAGACGATAGCGTGCTTGAACTGGTCCTTGATCGTACGGTGAATAGCATTACACTGGTTTGCGCGTTAGAACGTCCAGACCCCTTCAGAAAGTGTTAATCATGTGGAGAATCCTTACGAAGTCCTCGACCGTGCAGGCGTTGGCTCTTAGAACGACGGGGGCCGTGTAATCCGGCGTCTTGCCCTTGGGCTTGGTGTAGACCCGGCGCAGGTTGAGTTTCTCCCACATCATCTCCAGCAGCTCGTCAACGTTCCATCCGTGTTCAGAGCTAATGGGGCAGGCGTTGGGAATCCGGTACAGAAGGTCCAGCTCCTGGATCGTGATCGCATCGATCTTGTTCAGAGCATACACCACCGGAATGTAGGCGCGACTCTTGGCTTCCAGCACATCAATGAGATCATCGATGGTCGCATCGCATCTGATAGAAATGTCCGCGGAGGAGATCTTGTACTCGCTCATGACGGCTTTGATTTCCTGCGCTGCATCAGCGACTACACTGTAAGCCCCCCCAAAAAAGAAAGAGACTTACGTCGTTATCGATATGCGTCAAGGGAACCGTGCTCGTGATGGCAATACCACCCTTGTCCTTCTTCTTGAAAACAATGTTTGGGGGTTGCTTATTGATTCTGATGCCAAACCCTTCCAATTCGTTCTCGATGATCTTCTTGTCGTGCAGCGGCTTGTTAACGTCCAGCACGATGAAGATCAGATGGCAGGTCTTGGCCACGGCAATGACCTGACGACCACGACCCTTGCCATCCTTGGCACCCTGAATAATACCAGGCAGATCGAGAATCTGAATCTTCGCACCGTTGTACATGACCTGTCCGGGCACAGTCGTCAAAGTCGTGAACTCGTAAGCGGCAGCTATATCACAAAGTCGTCATTGTCAGCGATTATGTGCCTCGGCCCAGCGCGACCCTCGCTACCGTTATGTAGGGACAAAGAAAAACCAACCTTCCGAGTGCTGCCCCGTCAGTCTGCTCATCAGGGTACTCTTTCCGACGGAGGGGAAACCAATGAAGCCACTACCCCCGAACCATGTCAGCATAAGTCATTCGTCATTCCAACCACAAGTACTTCTTTCGATTCAATGGATAGATAGGACGTACACACTAGCGACACCGGTACGGGCAACATCGAAGCCGGCTGTAAATCATCGTGTCAGTGTCAAGCGCTTCTCTCCACGGGAAGACATGGGAAACACCACGACTACTACTTACCACCACCGCCGCCACCACCTCCTCCGGTCGGAGTCAACAGCTCTCGCTTCAGCTTCGCAAGCTTAGCCTTCAATTGACCTGCACGGTTCTCGTCAGCGCCCGTCCCGAGTTGGCTCCGGGAAACATCATCGCATCCTACCCAAGTGAAAGGCCGTAGCCTTGTTCTTCTGCGTCTTGGCCATCTGGAAGGGGAAACCGGTCAGTGTGCACATCCTGGCGCAGCGCTGTCGTCAAGCGAGGGCAGAGGGGGCGCGAACCTCATCTTCGATTTGTTTGATCTAAACCGAGTACCAAGCGTTAGCAGAATGCACTGGGAGCTAGACGGTTGTCGTTCAGGAAGCGAGATCCTACCTTTTCCACGGTGGTCGACATTTTGGCGGTTGGTTATGAGTTTCACCCCTCGTATGCGGCACAATAGAAAATAAAAAAAAAGTGTAGAATGAAAAGGAACAAAGTCTATGCTTTTGATGGAAGTA